CCGTAGTTTGGAATCCTACGTGCGAGAGTTTCATGATAACTGCAAATATGGCGAAAAGGATTGAAGAGTCGGGATTGTGTGATGTGGAATTTGATCCGAGGGTTTTGATACCAAAGGCGAAGGGTCAGCACCGTATATCCTTTTGTTGCCTTGACTTGTGTGTGTATTTTTTTTTTTTTTTTTTTTTTTTGTTGTAGTTCTTTGGTAGTGTGTACCTTATGTTTCTTATGTGTTTGTTATCTTTTGTAGATGGGGGTATCACCTTTGCGGCACTTCGAGCTAAAGCGAATGGGACGTCGAAGAAGGCATCGAGGAAGGTACCCTCTACGTTGGGAGGTCCTTCAAGTGGTTTGCTGCGTGAGGAGGTCCATGTAGAGACTCCTCGAGTAGTCGCAGATGACCATAGCAGTGCTGGTGAAGTGGAGGGGAGTCCACCGATGAGGGATCGTGGCAAGGGAAAGAGGGTGGATACCGAGTATGTGGCTGTGCCTAAGCGTCCCCGGGTAGACCCAGAGGAGACCTATGCTTTCCATGGTGGGGAAGGGAAATAATTGTTTACATATGGCGTGAATCGTGACGGTAAGGAGTCGTACTGGGATGTGTCGGACTATGATCTGCCGATGTTGAGTACCGAGGGTTTTGTTCGGGAGTATGACCGTGCTCGGATGTCCGGTAAGGGTCCTTCTCACATGCTGGAGTTAGCTGGTGGGGACATCTTTCGGGTGAGTACTTGTTTATTTAAAACAAGGTTTTATGTTTTATTCCCTCTTGACTTGCGAAAAATATTGTTATTATTTTTATTTTTTATATAGTTGGTAGCGACTTGGAGATATCTCATGGAGTATGGTAGGAATGTGGAAGCTAGGAAGGAAGAGGAGCGGGCTCGAAGTCAGGCACGTGAGGACGAACTTCTAAGCCAGTTGGAAGTAGCGCGGTCCGAACTTGCTCAACGCTCGGAAGAGCTTGTTCGGATGACAGAGGAGCTTGTTCAGAAGACAGAGGAGCTCGAGGTTATCCGAGGTGATGCGAAGGCGTATAAGGATGATGTTCACAAGTTGAACGAATGCTACGACCAGCTCAAGGAGAAATACGAAGTCGAGAAGGCGACGGGGAAGAGGTTCCTCACGACATTAGGTGGTGCGGTTTACAAGGAGTCCATTGTGGAGGAGACCAAGGCTAATTTTCGAGGTAGTGATGAGTGTGCTGCTATGATTGAGGAGCATGCATTGGCTGTGGTTTATAAGCCATTAGTGCGTGCTTGTCGCAAATATCTGCGCGATGCGGGTGGGATCAGCGAGGAAGTGATTCGTGGGATGGAAGCTGGCATATCCGATGAAGAGGAGGATGAGATAGATGTCAATGGGACGGACACAGAGCTTGTGAATGACATGGTTGCGGATGATTCCACCGTGGGTGCGTCTTCCGCTCGTGGTAGGGGAGTTTAGACTTATTTGTTAGGATAGTTATCTTTCCCCTTTTATTTTTATTATTATTATTATTATTTTTATTTTTTATTTTTTTTGCTGATGTAGATGGGTATGTCCACTACTATTCCGTTTGAATTTCTTCCTCGTTTGACTTTGAAGTTTAATATTTCGATTTATTTATTTTGACATTGTCAAGGATTAATGTGTTGCTTCTATGTATTTACATTAGCATTATACGCGATGTACTTGAGGAGGGGATCAGTCTCCCAAGGTTTTTGTTAAGGGTCATGCCCTTTGTTTGGACCACTTGGGTCTATAATATTTTTGTCCGTGGCCACGTTTTAAAAGTAGCACCTCGTGAAACAGCTAAAGGGACTTAGATAATCCAGCTGGCCAGGCTATATGGATTATGTAAATCTCTCTAAGTGTTTGTAGGGTGGTATTGAATTAGACTCATGAGAAGAGGTAGTTTGTATCGATGTAAAGGCATAGAGAGTAAAACGAAAATTGTGATTTATTCGATGATAGCAAATGAGAATTGTTACAGGCCCATGTGAGGCGAAGGTAAACAACTACTACTGAAGCAAATAAATGGCTTAATTCCACTTTGCACCCTTGAAATATACCATTTTGGCACTTTGCACCCTCGAAAAATAATAATAGCATTTTGCACCCTCAAAACATAATAAATCATTCACAATGCACCCTCAATTGAATAATAAAGGCAATTTTATTTTTCATTGGTGTTTTTCTTTTTGGGGTACAAAATAAAAAAAAAATTGTTGTTTTCTTGAACCTCAAACCTAATTTCGAGCGGACAAAGTGCGAAAAAAAAAAATTACACCGGATTATTTAAAAAAAAAACTACATTATCTTACAAAAGAAAAATAAAAAAAATAATCTTTTATCACTAAATTATTCGATTGTGGATCTTTTATGTCACTGTTTGTAAAATATTAGGTGAAAATATTTGGAAGGAAAAATAATTTTCAGATAACTTGATAACGTAATAGCTGAATGATTTTTTTCGTAAAATATTTTATTTTGATAAAACAATATAATTTTTAAATATGTTGATGGAATGTATTTTTATTTTTGAACTTTATAGTTTCAAAATGATTGATGAATAAAAAAAATATTTGACATTTGGCATCCTAAAAAAATATCACTACAAATATTAAATTTATAGTTTTTAGCTTTAAAAAATCATTTGGGGTGCATTATGCATGATTTATTGTATTTCGAGGGTGCAAAGTGCTATTAATTTATTTTGAGGGTGTAAAGTGCCAAAATGGTATATTTCAAGGGTGCAAAGTGGAATTAAGCCCAAATAAATTGACTTGATAACAAAAAATTTCTAAGTGATTGTACTATACTTGTTCTTCTTCCACGTATTCTTTGTACTCGTTCGTTTCGCTGTGCTGATGGTAGGCTGTCTTCTTTTGGTGTCTCTATGCCTGTCAAGTATAATTGAGAAAAAGAGAATTTGTTTAACTACTTGTATTGAGGATTTAGTAATTGAAGCTATGGTGATGTGTATTGCTCTTTCGCGTACCCTACTACGGGGGTTGATATTTCTTTCTCGCACTCCAAGATATGAAATGAATTCGTGAGTTGCTGCGAGTTGCTATGCGATCATGCCTGCTAGTGGGATTATTTTGTTGCGTTAGTAATCGTAAAGACGATTATCTGTGTGTTGAATTCGAGTAGAAGTATAGTTACCCTTGGCGATGTGGTATGGAGTGTCTTCGATCAAGCAGCGCATTGATTGATTCATATACATCCTCACGTAGTAGGTTCTCGACCTGTAAGGAGACGATGGGATGTGATTATAAATTTCTGATGTAAGTAAAAATTACTAGCCCCCCAACTTAGGTGGGACGTTAACGCACCTTGTTATGTGGTGTCAAATTTCCAACCATGTAGAAGCAGCTTTACAAGACGAGTGACGTGGAAGGTCGTGGAGCCTGCATGGGTGACAATTCGTAAGTAACTTTCCTGTATAAGAAATATGGGTGATGATCTCAACTGATTCTAAAGTAAGGTAAATGTATACCTTAGGCGTAGAACCGTTTGATGTTCCCTATATTCCATGTTCTGGGTATAGGGTGTCCGTCAATGTTCTCGAGGCGATATGCTCCAGTGTTGACCACCTTTGTTATTTTATACGGTCCTTCCCACTTTGGGTCGAGCTTACCGATGAGGTGAGAGTCTTCAGCTTTTCGGAGGACTAAATCTCCAACTTGAAAGGAGCGAGGGCGGACCTTTGAGTTATATGCCTTGGCCATGCGTGATTTATACATCTGTTGTCGGATGTATGCAATCTCACGTAACTCATCTACGAGGTCTAGGCTTCCCCGCATAGCCTCTTCATTAGCTGCTGGTTCATAGTTGGTGATTCGCCAAGATGGTTCACCTATTTCCACGGGTGCGATAGCCTCCGTGTCGAAAGCTAGATTGAAAGGCGACTCCCCAGTTGCTGCGCGTGGGGTTGTGCGATAAGCCCATAGGGCGTTAGGCAATTCCTCCACCCATTTTCCTTTGGCACTTCCTAGCCTTGTCTTAAGGTGTTGGAGGATGGTGCGATTTGTAACCTCCGTCTGGCCGTTAGCTTGTGGATTTGCTACCGATGTGAAGAACTGTTTGATATCCAAGCCGAGGCACCAATTTTTTACTTTGTCACCGCAAAATTGGGTTCCATTATCCGAGATGATGGAACGTGGGATTCCGAAGCGGCACACGATATTTTTCCATAGAAATTGGATGACTTCTTCTTCTCGGATGCGTGCTAAGGGTTCAGCTTCCACCTATTTGGTGAAGTAGTCCACTGCTACAATGAGGTATTTGCGTCCTCCTGTGGCGGGCGGGAATGGTCCAACTAAATCCATCCCCCATTGGGCGAAAGGGATGGGGCTGTCAATTGGTTGCATTAATGCCGCTGGCAGGTGAGTGATATTGGCATGCTCTTGGCAGGGCTTACATTTCCGGACTAATTTCTTCGCGTCTTCATGCATTGTTGGCCAATAGTAGCCTTGCCTCAGTAGTTTGAGAGCTAAGGTCCTCCCGCTCAAGTGATTGCCGCAGATGCCTTCGTGTACTTATCTAAGTACGTAATCTGCTGTGGTCGGGTCGAGGCACTTGAGATAGGGGAATGAGAACCCTCGTTTGTATAATTCTTCTCCCACTATGACGAAGCGAGCGGCTCTCGTCTTTATCTTTCGTGCTTCGGTGGGATCCGTTGGAAGTTCTCCCTTCTTGAGATACTTCAGGATTGGAGTGAACCAGCATGGTTCATCCTCCTCGGTGTACTGTACTTCAGTGGGTGAAGTTATCTCCGGCTGAGGTGAGGTGAGTAGCGTCACCTTCCGACTTCCGATGCTAGCCATGGAGCTTCCAAGCCTAGCTAATTTGTCAGCGTGGACGTTATTGAAGCGAGGTACTTGTCTTATCTCGTAGCTCTCGAATTTAGACAAGAGAGTGTGCGCGAGAGCTAAATATTTCGCCATGGTGTCTTCTTTAGCCTCGTAAGTTCCGAGTATTTGATTAAAGACGAGCTGAGAATCGCTTTGGATTAGGAGCTTGCGCGCTCCGGCTGCTAGGGCGAGGCGGATTTCCGCTATCAGTGCTCCGTATTCAGCAACGTTGTTTGAGGCTGTGAATTCGAATCGTTGAGCATATTCGAATTCGTCTCCGTCGGGGTTCGTTAGGACGATACCCGCTCCACCTCATGTGGCAGTGGAAGATCCATCGACGCTGACGGACCAAGTAGGTAGAGAGGTGCTTTCTTCTACAGAGGTCATTTCGACTAGAAAGTCAGCCAATACTTGCGCTTTGATAGTTGGGCGGGGTTTGAATTCCACTCCATATTCACTTAGCTCTATCGCCCATTTTGCTAATCGCCCGGATGTTTCGGGACTTCTTAGTATTTGCTTCAGAGGATAATTGGTGAGGACCACCACCTGATGTGACTGGAAGTAAGGTCGAAGCTTCCGAGCTGCGTTGATGAGGGCGAGAGCGAGTTTCTCCATGTTGGTGTAGCATTGTTCAGCTCCTTGGAGGGCACGACTTATGTAGTATATGGGTTGGTGGCCTTTTCCTCCATCTCGGATGAGGACTGCGCTGATGGCATCAGCCGAGGTAGCTAAGTACAGCATGAGGGTGTCTCCCGGCTGTGGTTTTGTGAGCAAGGGTGGTGATGCGAGATATGACTTTAACTCCATGAAGGCCTTTTGACATGCCTCATCCCACTCGAACTTTTTTCCTCCCCTTAAAATCTTGAAAAAGGGGAGAGCCTTGTTCGTTGATCTTGAAATGAATCTGTTCAGGGATGCCAAACAGCCGTTGAGCTGTTGAACTTTCTTGATCGATGTTGGCGGAGCCATGGAGGTGATTGCTTCGATTTTCGCGGGATTAGCTTCGATTCCTCGCTGCAAAATCATATAACCCAAAAATTTGCCTCCTCGAACTCCGAATGAACATTTGAGGGGGTTGAGCTTCATCTTATATTTTCGCAGGGTGGCGAAACACTGATCCAGATCCGTTAGGTGGTCCGAGACCTTAACACTTTTGACGAGCATGTCGTCGATGTACACCTCCATATTTTTACCGATCTGATCTGCGAACATTTTGTTCACTAGACGCTGGTAGGTGGCTCCTGCGTTTTTCAACCCGAAGGGCATGACTTGATAGCAGTAGATGCCTTGGTCAGTGATGAAACTAGCCCTCTCTTGATCTTCCAGCGCAAGAAAGATCTGGTTATACCCTTGGTATGCATCGAGGAAGCTGAGGAGCTCGCATCTTGAGGTCGAATCGATGAGTTGATCGATTCTAGGTAGAGGAAAAGGGTCCTTAGGACAAGCTTTGTTGAGGTCGGTGAAGTCTACGCATAGTCTCCACTTGCCCCCGGGTTTGGGAACGAGTACTACGTTCGACAACCATTCAGGATACTGAACTGGTCGTATGTGGCCCGCTTCAAGGAGTTTTGCCACTTCCGCTTTGATATGCTTGTTGCGCTCGGGACCAAATGTCCGTTTCCTCTGTTTGATTGGCTTCAACCTCTTGTCGACGTTAAGCCGATGTAGGGCTACCTGAGGGGGAATGCCCGACAAATCTTGGGCTTTGTATGGGAACACATCTCCATTGTGTCGTAGGAAGTTGATTAGCTGCTGCTCCGTGGTTGGATCTAAATCAGATCCTATTTGTACGAGCTTGGAGGTATGTCCGGGAATGAGCTCTATGAGCTTAAGTTCTTCGACGGCTGCTAGCTTGATGCTGTCATCAGGTACGCTGATGATGATTTCTTTATTATCCTCGATGATCGCATTGACCCATTTCCGTTTGTCGGATTTTTGGGTGTCGTCTCCTTTTCCGGGTGGTTTAGGCTTCTTGGAAGGTTCTCGTAGGGCCCTTGCATAGCACTCTCAAGCGAGACGTCTATCTCCAAGTACTTCCCCCATTCCATAGGGAGTAGGGAACTTCCACTTCTGATGATAGGAAGAAGGCACTGACTTGAATGTGTGGATTGCTGGCCTCCCCAGAATGATGTTGTAGGGTGATGGCCTGTCGACGACGAGGAACTTGATTATTTTTGTGATTCGACAGGGATCTTCCCCTAAAGAAACAGGCAGCTCCACTTCTCCCATGGACAAAATGCCTTCTCCTGTGAACCCTTTCAGGGGTGTGGAGATGGGACTAAAACGGGCATTATCTATGCCTAGCTGCTTAAAAGCGTGGAGGTACATGATGTCAGCTGAGCTCCCACCGTCCACTAATATCTTCTTGACCAAGAAGTTGGCCACCGTTGTTGTTACTACCAATGCATCGACATGGTCTTCATCTGGACCTTCAAGGTCAAAGGAGTTGAATACTATGATGTGATCAGGTCTTCGTATTTGATATATGCGTGCGGATGGAGCAGCATATTCTTGATTCATGCGTGCTGATCGAGCGAGGGTGCGTCTTGCATTTTGTGAATCGCCCCCCGCCGGTCCTCCGGAGATAAAGGAGATGATTCCCCGAGTAGGCTGGTTATCGTTGTTATCTAGGTCACGTCGATGACCCCCATCCTCTCGTCTTTGTTGTTGATCTCGATTGTTATCTCGGCGTGGAGGATCATCACGGCGCTTATTTCGCGGCTTATCAATGTATTCGCCTAAATGGCCCTGTTTGACCAGCCTCTCAATCGCCACCTTGAGTTGTGCACATTTCTCCGTAGTATGCCCTATGTCCTTATGGAATCGACAATAACGATCCGACTTTTCTCGCTTTGCATTTGGTTGCATAGGACGTGGAGGCTCTGCTAAACCTCTCTGTTCTATCACGTGAAGGATTTCAGTGAGGCGAGCGTTTAGCGGAGTGAACCTGTTGTAGGAGGAGGAGGGTTGGCCTTGAGGTGGAAGTGTTGGGCGTCGGTCATCGCGCCTCCTATTGTCCTGACGGTCATCTTCCGTTTTCCTTTTAGGAGGAGCATGGGTAGAAGCTTCATCTATTCGGACGTACTTTTCGGCTCGATTCAGCAACTCCTCTAGGTTGCCTGGGGGTCTTCCGGCGATAGATTCCTTGAATCTTCCCGGTTTCAAGTTCTGCTGCATAATCCCGGAGAGCATGTCTTGCCCTACACTGGGGACTTCATGGACGGCTTCTACGAAACGCTTAATGTAGTTGCGGAGTGTTTCGTTATCTCTCTGTACTACAGAGAAAAGATGAGCTGGGGTCTTGGCATATTGTTTGTTGATGGCGAATTGGTTGGTGAACCGGGTCGACAATCGAGCGAATGTGTCAACGGACCCTATGGGTAGCGAGTTGAACCAATTCATTGCCCTCTTGGAGAGGGTGGTGCGGAACATTTTGCACATCGCAGCATCCGTCGGGCCATATAAATCCGCCATGGCACTGAATTTCTCTATATGCTCATGTGGGTCGGTGGTCCCTTCAAATTGAGGTAACCCCGAGATCTTCACTCCTTGAGGTAATACCTCGTTGAGAATGTCTATGGTGAAGGGACTGCATCTTGTTGGGACAGGCATTATTTCACCCATTAGATTATTAGGTTGGGGGAAAAGATTTTGGCGAGACATTCTGCTGTTTACCTCGCCTTCTCCCTCATTAAAGAGAGGGATTCTCTGTGGTGACGCATTCCCCTGTGGGGGTGAGCGCTGACGCTGCTGTCTGGGCTGTGCCCCTCTGTGGTTAGTAGATAGCTGTACTCGGGACCGTGGATCCGAGGTAGAGGAGGAGACACTTATTTGATTCTGGATTGGCGGTGGGGCCACAGGTGGCGCTACAGGTGGAGCTGGCGCTGGTATCGCATTGGGAGCGTTTGCTCCCATCGTGGCGATATATTGAGTTACGGCCTCCGTGGCGGCGCGAGTCGAGGCTTCTGCTATCATGCGTTGGAGCGCGTCCTCGGTTATTTGAACCGTTCGAGGAGCAGGGAGTGGTGGATCGGCGAGTGGTGGGTCCCGAGGGGGGATCACCTGAACCTCGCGAGATGGATCTGCAGCACGTGGAGGAGCTGGCTCCGTGGCACGTGGAGGAAATGGCTCCGCGGTACGTGGAGGAGGTGGCATGCCAGATCCTCCACGGACTGGGAGGTTATTAGCTGTGTCATTTTCTCTCCGAGCTGACGCCTCATGAGGATCTTGTTGGCTACGTGATTAGGTTTGCATCGTTCCCACAGACGGCGCCAAAATGATGATGCTAAAGTATAGCTCACCGGAGTAGTATAGAAAACGAGCTGGGAAAGCAAATCGGATCAGTAGCTTGACAACTCGATGATCCTGAGGTCCCTGCGAAAAGAGCACGCGTGAACTAAGCCGGGGGTTGATCCGGCGGAAACCCCTCCGACGCTCAAGTCAGATGTACAGATCGTATAGATAATAGAGAGAATAAAGTTCGTAGTCGATTGTGAATAATTAGAACGTACCTTTACGAATGAGTAAAATATCTATTTATATATCGTTGAATGAGTTGGGCTTACTTTGTTGGGCCCAAACCTTATTTTGAAGGAGCTTGGGCTTTCGTGTAATGGGCCCACATGTATGTGATTGGGCTTTCGTGTAGCGGGCCTAATTGGTAGATAAATTTGAGGGCCCATTGGGCCGGCCTATTTAGGTATATCACACCACAACCACCGTTCACCACCTTCCACCACCCACCGCACAACCACCGCTCACAATTTTCCAACCCCCAATTGTTTAATTCCTTTTACAAACCCGCCACATGCAACCACCGTTCTCCACATTCCACCACCCACCAAAACAAATTAAAAGTTTGTCATCTTCTAGAAACATTATAGAATTATCTACTAAATGAAACATTATAAAATAAATAAATATATATCTTTATATATTATATAGTTGCCAAACAAATCTCCTCCACCCCACTCCTCGGTTGCCATGATCACTTTGCTTGAAACCTGCCGGATTCCACCTCCGCCTAGCTCCGCCGAGCTACAACTCCCACTTACCTTCTTCGACATCGTCTGGATTCACTTCCAACCCATTCGCCGCCTTCTCTTCTACGAATATTCCTGCTCCGAATCACATTTCCTAGAAACCCTAGTTCCAAACCTCAAAGAATCACTCTCCCTCACTCTCAAACACTATCTCCCACTCGCCGGAAACCTCCTCTACCCTCTAAACACCGACCACCAAAAGCCCCTCCTCCGCTACGTCTCCGGCGACTCCGTCTCCCTCAAAATCGCCGTCTCCGGCGGCAACTTCGACGACCTCGTCGGAAACCACCCACGCGACGCCGATCAGTTCTACGACTTCGTCCCGGAAATCCCGCCGGCAACCGAAGATTCCGAGTACAAAATAGTCCCGGTTTTCGCTCTGCAAGTGACGCTATTTCCCGGCCGGGGAATTTGCATCGGCTTCTCCAATCTCCACAGCCTCGGCGATGCAAGATCGATCGTCGGCTTTATGTGTGCATGGGCTTCCATGTGCAAACTATCCAAAGAATCAGAATCTCTGCCGATTTTCGACAAATCCGTGATCCACGATCCTCTCGGAATCGACAGAATATTCTGGAAAGCAGTGAAGAATATTCCATTCAAGTCATCATATTCTTTCCCACTACCCACGAACAAGGTCAGAGCCACGTACACTCTGCGCCAATCCGATATCGAAAAGCTCAAAGCTTCCGTCTTGGCCAAGAAACCCGATTTAGGCCACGTGTCGTCTTTTGTCGTGACAGCGTCCTACATTTGGACAACCTTGTTGAAATCATCTGCAGATGATCGCGTACAAGATCAGAATATTCACGAGTACTTTGTATTCTCCGTAGACATACGCGAGCGGATGAATCCAGCAGTGCCGACAAATTACTTCGGCAATTGCCTTTGCGCGGGCATAACGGAAATCGAGCACGAAAGACTCGTCGGTGAAGAAGGGATTGCGGTTTCTGCTGAGTTCATGTCTGAACTCATCAGGAACCGGATGAACAATAAAGACGAGGTTCTGAAAGGAGCCGAGAATTGGATGGATGGGAGTAGGAACAAAGTGTGGGCCCGGGCTGTTGGAGTTTCTGGTTCGCCGAAATTCGATTTGTGTAGTGCGGATTTCGGATGGGGAAATGCGAGGAAGCTCGAAGTTGTGTCGATTGATGGACAAAGGTGCTCGATTTCGTTGTGTAAGTCGAATGATTCCGAGGGAGGATTGGAGATTGGTTTGTCTTTGCCTAAGGAGAAAATGGACGTTTTTGCTGCTGTATTTGGAGATGGCCTAAAATCGTGAGATTTTGTAATAATAAGTGTTTTTATAAGAATTGGAATTAGGAAGAATAAACGATGGGGCATAAATATGGAGTAAACTGTAAAAAGTAACCTTGTGTAATATCTAAATAGCGAAAATCTTATATGATAAATAAATTAGCAAACACCCCCATGTGAAATTATTTAAGTAGCACGCTTGGCCCATTTATTATTTGAGTGTTGACTTCATATAAAAAGACACAAATACCCCCGTGATTTTGCAATTAATAAATTCTTATATTTTCTAAATATTTTAATTATTTTATTTTTGTTATATCTTAATTATAAAGGTACAATGGGATCTTTAATTTATTTTTGTTTTTATTATCACATAGTTTTTGTATATATTTTAAATTATCGCTACATCAAAAGAAAATTTAAATTCCGTTATGATATATTTAAAAAAATCTATACTTAATTTGATTAACAAATTTTAATTAATAATTTTTAAATTTAATTATTTCCTATTTTTTAACAATACTTTAATTTTTAAACAATCAAATTAAAAGGAATATATATATACATATAATATATATACATATAAATATATTTTTAGGGACAATTTCGTCATTTCACGTCCAAAAACCTACTACGAGTCGCGCAACCCGCGAGTAAGCAACACTTAAGTCAACCGGGGGGGTTTTTGCCTTTGACTAATTTCACAGGGGGTGTTTTGCTAGTTTATTTATCACATGGGGTTTTTGCTATTTAGAGATTACACAGGGATACTTTTTGCAGTTTACTCCAGAAATATGCACACGGTTCCATTTATTGATTGTTATTTTTGTTGAGCTATATCAATGCAAAATTTTAAATAAACTATGATTTTTCAAACCAAACCAATTTTGTATTATTTTTAATATTTTTATACGATTTGAAGTTTGAACGGCTTTTACATTTATGTAAAAAAAATCTATTAAAACAATTTGAACCATTCTTTTAAAAAACTGTAGTTATTGAACAACATCTCATCAAATATATGGTCAACTTGTTAACAAATGGTGGTTATTCGATAGACCACTCAATACTTCTTTTAGGGATAATTAGCTATACCCCCTTATTTCAAACTTATATGGCTATGAGTCCAATGTGTTAGATTAGTATAGCTATAGGCCCTTTGACCAAAATTTTTAATTAAATTAATTAAAATTATAAGCCTACGGACATAAATACCCTTCCAGTAAATTATTTAATTAAGGAAGCAGTTAATTCAGTAAATTACGTTGAATAAATCCCAAATATCACATTGTAAGATTTGGAAGGAAGTTATGAGACGTGGGTTGAAAAAAAAATTCGGGAGTTTATCCATGGTAGAATTAAAGAACTCATTCATCGTTATAAGATCTTAAAATTGTATGACTTTAGTTTCGTGAAATCTAATGCAATTAGGTATATTTTTGTTTTTCGTATTGCTATCAACATGAAGAGGAGCTACGTCAATAGGTTTGTTTTGTTGTTGGAAAGGAGTTTATGAAACGTGGTTGATTCATCTTTGACGACACTCTTATTTTATTTCGCAAAATCTCTGGTTTAGATTTCGAGATTGAAATTCGAATTCAGACTTTTGATTCAATTTGGCAGGCATTAAATTAAATTTTGTGATTTTTTTAGGGTTGATGGTGCAAGATTGAAGGAGAAGATGACCATACAGAAAGTGATTGAGCCCGATTCACATATGTTCTCTTTATTTGCTCATCAGGAGAAGATTTCATTTAGTTTTTTTTTTTCGTGCAAACCAAAACGAGTACAAAATGGCTCGCTCGTTCTCAGCCGATAAATTCATTCCGTATTTAATCGTCAGAGCAGTTCCGTATCTAGAGGCTCAAGGACATCGACTAAATCTGATAATTTTGAGACGAAAATTGTGTTTGTTGTTTGCTATTTTTCTTTACACTTTGTTGTTATATATTTATTTTTTGTTGTTAGTATGGTACTATTTGCACTTTGCTTTTAATTCTTGCAGTTTATGTATATAATGTGTTTTTGCTCGAATATATTTTTACTCTTTTGCTGCTTTTGTTTACTGTTTTAAGTTTTTTTTTTCATACATGATTGTCACTGTTAATATATGTTCTGTAAATATCAATCTTTAAAAATCCATTCATAATTCAAACATCAAACAGCAAAACATCATGTTATAATGTCCATATCGAACAACAAACATCAAGTTTTTTTTCATCTATTTATGTCGATTTGCACAATTTTCGATGTTGGTGGTTTTTTGTTTTGCATTTTGCTGTTTCTAGCAGACTATATTTACACTTTGATGTTATATATATTTTTTTTGAGTTGTTGGCATGGTATTGTTTGCACTTTTGATTTTTATGTTTGCAGTTTGCATATACGATGTGTTTGTTGCTCGACTATATTAGTGCATGTTGTTGCATTTTGCTGTTTCTAGCAGACTATATTTTACACTTTGATGTTATATATATTTTTTTGAGTTGTTGGCATGGTATTGTTTGCACTTTTGATTTTTATGTTTGCCGTTTGCATATACGATGTGTTTGTTGCTCGACTATATTTGTGCATGTTGATGTTATATATGAGGTAATTTTTTGTTATAATATTATCTACACTTTTGACGCCATATATTTATTTTTGCAGGTGGTATTGTATTATTTGAACTTTGCCTTTTCTTTTTGCAGTTTGCTTATAAATTACAATAGCAAAATGCAAACTATAACAGCGGAATGAAGACTAAAGCCTTGTGAGAATTTTGTTGCAGCAGTGTATAGCATAACAAAAATCGACTAAAGCCCTTTGACACTTTGCCTGTTTTTTTTAACAATGTACTGAATTTATAAGAACTTATGAATTGGCAAGCATATACCAATACACAAAATAACTGCATGAATTTGGAATATATTAGAAAATAGTTCATATCAAAATCTAACAAAAATATAATGCCACAAATAAAAATCAAAGTTCTGCTAAACATAAGTAAATATCATAAAAAAAAATCTAATTAAACTCAACGGTATCCTCGTCGTTCAAGAACAGATAATTAAAAGTTTTTCGAGTGCGATATCCCACTTGCTGGAGTTTTCTCACTAATGGTTGTTGCATGCACAACTGCCTTGCCATATACAAGACAAAAATCCCACAATCAACCAAATCTGGTTTGTTGAGGCGATGTCGAAACTTAATATGGCTTTGTGTTATCGTGCAAATAGATTTGGCTTGATTCATCGTTGCTTCCCTCTTTTTGAAGAGGCAAATAATTCATCTATTTTCCTCTCCCGTTTCGTCAAATCAACTGTTCAATTGAAAAAAAAAATTATTGGACAACCATGTCGGTACCTATGCAAAATGCAAAATGAAAAAAAAAACATCAAAGTGCAAAACGCAAAATGCAAAATAAATATCAAAGTGCAAAATACACTACGCTAGAAACAACAAATCGCAAACAGAAAAAAAAAAAAACAACGAAATCGAATATATGTTGCAATCGACACCAGAAAATAACATGAACAAAAAATAAAAAAAAAACAAATGTATCACAAAACAGCAAAATGAAAACACAAAATAATGTAACACATACCAGGAAACTCCAAACAAACAATCAACGGATTTAGGAGGAAAAAGACAAATTTAACAAAATACTCCAAAGGGCCGAAAAGCACAAAAGACGACAAAACAAAAAATCGCAATCGAGTTATTAAAAGATGTAACAAAAACGCAAAACAACCGG